AAACAACATCAAATTTAGAGGGGTCACTTAGGGTGCGGCAGGACTGACTAGAAGCCACATCCTCTGACTTATACTCCAAATTTATGGTTCTATATGCATCACTTGTTTTCTTCAGGGACCTCAAAGGGTCCATGAAAGGGCCATTGGAAGAAGCTGGTTTTGAGGAAGGATTTTAAGAAGAGAGGAAGAAAAAAAATAAATAAATAAATAAAAAGAAGGTAGGAAGAAGGGACAGTCACAGGAGTTACTCAGTGGATGGGTAGTGTAAGTTACGTGGGGTAGGATTTCTCCACTGCTCCCCTTCCCTCAGCTTAGTTGATATCATCATGGAATGTCATCACAAATGATGAGGTTTTAATGTGTTAACAAGCCTAGAATCCTATGATCCCTTTATAAAGAATGAACATCTCTCTGATTGAGTAAAGGACACAACTCAGGTTAGCTGAACAAATAAATTAACTATGCCCCTGAAAAATTTTTTTTTTTTAAACTAAGCCTTGGGAGATTTCAACTAGATTGTTGTGGGCCTAGGAGAGGGAATTTCTCTTTCATTAGCAACGTAGGTTTTGAAGGGGAGCCGCTCTGTTTGGCCTCTCAAGATTCTTATAACTTGATCTCTTCCTACCTTTGCAGCCTTTTTACACAATACTCTGCTTCATGTATGCTACACAGGCTAATTTGTTGTTCTAATAGGACCCTCCCTCCATCTTCCATCTCCACAGCTTTGTACTGGTAGTGGTGGAACGCTCCACTTCCTTATCCCCACCCCTGAGCTTCTCTGACTTCTTTTATTTCATTTTTTGAGGCAATGGAGTTAAGTGACTTGCCCAGGGTCACACAGCTAGTAAGCATTTGAGGCTGTATTTGAACTCAGGACCTCCGGACTCCAGGGCTGGTGCTCTACCCACTGTGCCACATAGCTGCCCCTACTTCTTTGAAAACTCATTTCAAACCTCACTACTTCTCCCATCTCCTCCCCCTTCTGAGATCACCTTCCATCCACTCTCTCTGTATGTTTTATACTTACCTAATTATTTACATGCTATGTGCTGGACCCCCCCATTAGAATGTGAGTTCCTTGAGAGCAAAGATTGTTTTTGCCTTTCTTTTGCCGCACTTAGTACAGTCTCCAGTTGCTAAGATTGTTTTTCTTTTTTTAACGTTAAGCTTCAAGCCAGTTTTTACACGCTCCAAGACACCATCATCAAGATGCTTAATTCCTTTTCAGTTTCTGCCATCAGAATGGTATCATCTGCATACTTGAGATTGTTGCTATTTCTTCCAGCAATCTTAATTCTAGCTTTCGATTCGTCCAGTGTGGCATTTCTCATGATGCACTCTTCACAAAAGTTAAATAAGGCAACAATATACAGCCTGTCGTGATCCGTTCTCAATCTTAAACCATCAGTTGTTCCACGGTCGGTTTTAATTGTTGTTTCTTGGCCAGCATATAAATTCCTCAGGAGACAAGGAAGATGAGTTGGCACTCCCATCTCCTTGAGGGCTTACCATATTTTGTTGTAATCCACACAGTCCAAGGCTTTAGTATAGTCAATGAAGCAGAAGTTGATATTTTTCTGGAATTTCCTTGTTTTCTCCAGAATCTAGTGAATGTTGGCAATTTGGTCTCTAATTGCTCTGCTTCTTTGAAAACCGGCCTGCAGGTCTCTTCCCACTCTAGTCCATCCTACATACTGCTACCAAATTCATTTTTCTTAAGCACACATCTCTCTGTCATTCCTTTAATCAACGGGTGCAATAGAAACTTGTCTGTTGTGCTTGTAAAGTCAGTCCATCACAACCTCCCCCAACTTAGCTTTCCATCATCAACGGACCTTACTCCCTTGCACACTGTCATCTAGCCAAACAGGTCTTCTCCCTTTTCTCCACACAGGACACTCACCTTTCTCTGTGTGTGCCTTTGCATTGGTCATTACACATTGCCTAGAATCCTTTTCTTCTCACCTCCACCTCCTGGACTTCCTGGATACAAAGACAAAAGGTCCTTGCCCTCAAGAATCATGGGCTCAAATTTGAAAGGATGTCCAAAGGGCAATCAAACTGCATGCCCTTTGTCCCAGCAATAACACTTCTAGGTCTGTATCCCAAAGGGATCATAAAAAAAGTGAAAACGACTCACATGCACAAAAATATTTGTAGCAGCTCTTTTGGTGGTGGCAAAGAATTGGTAACTGAATGGATGCCCGTCGACTGGGGAATGGCTGAACAAGTTGTGGTATATGAATGTAATGGAATGCAATTGTGCTATAAGAAATGATGAGCAGGCAGATTTCAGAAAAACCTGGAAAGACTTACACGAACTGATGGTGAGTGAACTGAGCAGAACCAGGAGAACACTGTACACAATAACAGCAACATTGTGCAATGATCAACTTTGATAGACTTGGCTCTTCTCAGCAATGCAATGACAAATTGTATACAAAGACAATTCCAAAAGACTCATGATGGAAAATGCTATCCACATCCATAGAAAGAACTATAGAGTCTGAATGAACATCGATACTATTTTCACTTTTTTTAAAAAATTTTTTCCTTTTGCAAACTAAATTTTTTTACAAACTGTTTCTTCTTTCACAATATGATTAATATGGAAATATATTTTACATGATTGCACATGTATAACCTATATCAAATTGCTTAGGGAGGGAGGGAGAAAATTTGGAACTCAAAATTTTATTTAAAAAAAAGGAATGTTAAAAATTGTCTTTATATGTAATTGGAAAAAATAAAATACTATTAAAAAAGAATCATAGGCTCAATCACGATAGAGTGCTAGTGATGAAACGTGCTACCCACCTTGAGCTCCTTTACCTTGAAGTCATTACCAAAGGTTATGACAAGTGACCTTTGTCACCTTCTTGACAGAAGGGTGATGGATTGAAGATTTCCTTCAAGACCCACTTAAAATCTCACGTTCTAAGGTGAGCCTTTCCTCATTCTCCTTCATTCTAATGCCTTTGTTCTTTGTTCTTTCCAATTTATCGTGTGTGTACCTATATCTATACACAAAATCTTATGTGTATATAGATGTTTGCATTTGTCTCATCCATTAGACTGTGAGCTCCTTGACAGCAGGGACTGTCTTTTCCCTTTCTTTGTATCCCCAGCAAGCAGCATAGAGCCTGGCATGTAAGTAGACATTTAATAAATGTTTATTGGCTTAGATTCTTAAAATCTAGCCAATAGCTTACTAATGTTCAGACTCCTTGAAAGTCTGCCCAATATGATGGATGTTCTAATAAACCCTGTCTTTGACTAAAAGGAGGCTTGGGTAGAATTGGGCAGGACCTGTGTGTTGTGATATTGGGGTCCCAGCACCCCTGAACCCCTAAATTGCATCAGATCCAGGAGAGACAATTTTAAAATTATTGGTATACCTGAAAATCACAATTAAAAAAAGATCCTGGGCAGCATCTTTCAGGAAATCATCAAGGAAAACTGCCCTGAGGTCCTAGAACTAGAAGGTAAAATAGCCATAGAAAGAATCCACCGATCACTTCCTGAAAGAGATCCCAAATTGAAAACGCCAAGGAATATAGTAGTCAAATTCCAAAATTACCAAGTCAAAGAGAAAATACTGCAAGCAGCCAGAAAGAAACAATTTAAATGTCATGGAACCACAGTCAGGATTACACAGGACCTTGCAGCTTCTACATTAAAAGACTGTAGGGCATGGAACATGATATTCCATAAGGCAAAGGAGCTTGAATTACAACCAAGGATCAACTACCCAGTGAAAATGATCATGATCTTTCAGGGGAGGAGATGGATATTCAACGAAATAGGGGACTTCCAAACCTTCCTGATAAAAAGACCAGAGCTCAACAGAAAATTTGATCTTCAAATACAAGACTCAAGAGAGACATAAAAAGGTAAATGGGATAGAAAGAAACAACATGTTATTAATAAGGGCAAACTGTTTACATCCTTACAAGGATAGATGACATTTGTAACCCTTGAAAAAAAAATAAATGTTTATTGACTGACTGAAGATGCAGAATGTGACTTTTTTTTAGATATGGCCAATGTTGGAATTTGTTTTGCTTAGCTATGTATATTTGTTACAAGAGTTTTCTTTTTCTTTCTTTCTTTTTTCTCCCAAAGAAGGACAGGAGGTAGGAGGGAAAGAAGATTTAGAAAAGGAGTTTCAAGCCTTTCAGCCCCACCAGGCCTCCCTAGGGAGAAGAAAACAGGAGACCAAAAGGAATGAATCACGGACCAGCAGAACAGCTTTGCAAGTTCCACGTTGACTTTATTACAGAGTATACCTGAAAAGCAAGCTCTAAACAACATTCATGGTTTCACATACAATCCTCTCTTGTTCTACGTATAAGATGGAGATGCGCACTTTATTTGATGTTTGTTAAATTAAGAATACTTTTTTTTAAGTAAAAAAAGAGTCATGGGATCATATATGTCTGGAAGAGACCTCTGAGGCCATCTTGTCCAACCTGTTCATTGTACAGATGAGAAAACTGAGGCCCAGGGAGTACTAAGTGACTTAATCATAACTAACTTCTACATAATGATTTAACCACTTTACAAATATTATCTCTTTTGAACCTCACAACAATCCTGGGAGGTAGGTGCTAGTACTATCTTACCCATTTTACAGATGAGGAAATTGAGGCACACAAGAGGTTAAGTGATTTGCTCAGGGGTCACAAACTGGTTATGCTTCTGAGACTGTATTTGGCTGTATATGACCCCAGGCCCAGCGCGCTACCCACTCCCCAGCAGTCTCCCAGAGTACGAGAAGCCCTCGGGCCAGGGTCAGGCCTGGGACAGCGCGGTGGAGACGCCGAGAGCTCTGGGGGAGGGGGGAAGCCCTGGGATGGGAGGAGGGGAAGAGGAGGCGGGGCAGTCCCGTCCTGGGAGAAGGAGCTGGGCACAGCCGGGGGCGGGACTCTCGATTGGCGGAACCCTTTTCTGCCCCTCCCGCGCTGCCGCCCGGACGCATTTGGCCGGCACACAGCCGCCCTAGCGACGGGCGCTTCGTTGCTAAGGGACGGCCTGGAGAACCGATTCCTGCGCGCATGGAGACTGGAGTTTGCAGACCCCAGGCCTCTTCGCCAGCCCTGCCTCAGCCCCTGACAGTGCGTATGGAGTGGGGATGAAGGTGGTAGGGAACGTGGGAGGGGGGCGGGCTAGGGAGAAGAGCCGAGCCCCTGCATCGTTGGGACACCGAGTCCCGTTCCAGAGGCGGGGGCGGGACAGGGCCCCCACGAGATTTCCTCCCCGCGGGTCAGACTGGAACCCCCCAGCGGAGGGGCTGCCACCGAGGTTCCCCCTTCGCGGCCTTTCGCTTCCCTGGCTGAATGGTGCCGGGGCGAGGCCCACGGCTCTGGACTCGAGGACTTGGGTTCAGATCTAGCCTCTACTACCTGTGTGCTCTTGAGCTTCCCTTCCCTGAACCTCAGCTTCTTCATCTGTGAATGAGAGAATCGGACCCCATGACTCACAAAAGCCCTTCCAGCCTCAGATCATAATCCTAAGAGATGAGATAACTCTTAAATCCCAGCTTCCAGCTCGAATCCTTCTGCCTATCTCCCCTCCCCCGCCTTTGTTGGGTTTCCTGGCCCCTGATCTGGGGCGGGGGGGAGGGGGGGGGGCGGCGGTCCTGTAGGAGTAAGGCTGATACCCCCTCTCCTTCCCTGTCTCCCTCTTTCCTTTTTCCTCCATTAGTCACATCATCATGCTTTTTACTTGCTCTTTGTGTGTCATTGGGAATTCACTTCCTTTTTGTAGGTCTCAGTTTCCCCTTATGTAAAATGAGGAGGTTAGATTAGATGGTGTCTAAGGGCCTTTCCAGCTCTGACATTATTCAGTGAGTCATACTTTTATGTGTGTGTATTTGTATGTGTGTGTGTATAATATATAGTTTTAAATAGGTGAAATTGTCATCACAAAACTAGAAACTCCAAAGAAACAGATTATTTGATGAAGAGATGAATTAACAACATGTTAGTGGAATCTAAGCTTACCCTGAAATATTTATGGGGAGGATGAAATAAATTACCTTGAAGGTTTCTATGCTTATCATTTATTCCTAAGAATGTTTGCACTACTGTAAATTTTTCCAATTGTTGGGAAAAATGAAATTAATCTCAAAATTTTAAAGGTTCTTTTGAAAAGAAAGGTTATTTTATAAATCTTTTTGCTTTGGAATTATATGGCCAATGAGAAAGAATAACTAAGTATATTATTATTCATTGCAGTGACTAGCAAGGGTCTATCTGAATCACTTCTCCCAGAACAAATTGGAAATCTTCAGATATATCCATTTACTACACAGATCTGGTTGGGATTTGGGGTAAGTAATTTCAAAAGTTATCTTTTTATTGTAAAGCCCTACAAATGTTTTTTTAAAAAATAAATTTTATTTTATTTTCAGGTCTGAATTTTCTTCCTCCTGCCCCCCCCCAAAAAAAGGAAAGAAAAAGACAAACAAAATTCATTACAAACTATAGTCAAGGAAAACAAATTCCCACATTGACCAGCTCGCAGATACTTCTTACAAATAAGATGTCACTTGAAGAGTTAAGAACCCAATCAAATTATTTCAAACTGAGACCAGTGCAATTGCAGTACCAGATATAGGGAAAAAAAATGCCATTTTTGTTTTCTTTTTTAAAATTTGTCATAGTCTTGGGAAAAGGAATAATTTGGTAGATTAGGAGTCTAGACATCGTGTCTACTTAAGCAAACATTTAGCAGCATCTGCTACATGGAGAATACTCTCTAGCCACAATTGAGGTATATCCTTAGAAACAGTTCTTCCTAGAAGAAATAAGTAGAGATACTCACAGTGCAGAGTTTCTTTTCTTGGGGCTGTTGCTTCCCATGAATTCCTTCTTATTTATCTGTATAGACCAAACCCCATAGGAAAGGAGGAGGGGGGTGATTTCCCTATCTCTGTTTAGTTCTCCTAACTACCTAGAAATCTGAGTCCAGGTGTCTAGTTTTTTCTCCCCCTCCCCTCCCATCTTCTCTAGAAGATTACATCCTCAGTCATCTCCCCCCTCTTTTCTCTGAAATCTTCGGCCATTTCCCACCTCCAGGTTCATTTCTTCTGCATTCAAACATGGTACCTAAGCCTTTACTACCCTTAAAAAACTTTCACTAAACCTACCATCGCACTGAAGGTCTCGCCCTCTATTTCTCAACCAAACACCTTGAAAAAGCAGTCCATGCTAACAGTTTCCATTTCTTCTCTTCTCACTGAGCTGTTAACAGCTCTTTGCAATCTGGCTTTTGACTTCTTTCGACTAGAGCTGCTGTTTCCAAAGTTACCAATGTTCCCTTAGCTGTCACATCTGCGGTCCTCATCCTTCATCTGCATTTAATACTCTTGGTGATTCTCTCCTCATGGATATTCTCTCTTCTCTGGGTCTCCATGATCCTCCTCCTGTCTGACATTTCCTTCTCAGTCTCCTTTGCCAGCTCATCATCTGTATTATGCACCCTCATCTGGGAGTGCTCCCCAGAGTTATGGCACACACTCTCTTCTCTGTGCTCTGTCTCTTAGTAACCTCATCAATTTCCACTATCAGCTATGCAGATGGCCCAGATTCTGTATCTAGCCCCAGTTTTTCTCCTAGCTTCAGTCTTGCATCATCAATCACATATTGGATGTTTTTAGACCAAATGTCCTGAAGATACCTCAAACTCAAATGTGTCCAAAATTGTGCTCATCATCGTCCCCCCCAAACCTCTCCTGCTCCAAACGTCTCTGTTTCTGTTGAAGGCATCACTGTCCTTACGGTCTTTCATGTTTTTCGACTCATATATACAATCAGTCACCAAATCTTGGCGTTTCTACCTTCACAATATCTCTCATATCCGATCCCTTCTCTCTATTTATGTAGCTACCACCTTAGTTCAGGCCTTCACCCCCTCCTTGTCCTGAATCCAGACTCTAGTCTAAGTTATTACAACAGTCTCCTATTCTGGTGTTCTTGTCTTAAGACTTTCACTACTCTAGTCCATTCTGCACAATTACCAAAGTAATTTAACTTATGTACAGATGTAACCATGTCAATCCTATAAAACTTCCATTATCTCTAGGATAAAATATAAACTCTATAGCTTTTAAAGCCCTATGCCACCTGACCCCAAGCTATCCTTCTAGCTTCTCTGGACATGACTCCACCTCCTGAACTCTGCTCTGCAGCCAAACCCACCTTCTCTCTGTTTCTCACATATGACACTCCTATCTCCCATCTCTGTGCTTTTGCATTAGCTGTTCCACATATCTGGGACACACTCCCCTCTTACCTCCTCCTCATAGAGGCCCCTTTCTTCCTTTAAGACACTATCTTCTTCATGAAACCTGTCCTGCCCCTGCTAGTGTCCTTCCTCAGAAACTACCTTGCATTTAACTACTTTGTATACATTAGTATTTATTCACTTTATACTTATGCTATATATATATGTATAATATGTATTTATTGTCTCCACCAATCAAATATAAACCCATTGAGAGCAGGTACAATCAGTTTCACTGTAATTGGACAAAAAAAAAAAAAACCACCGCATTATGCAAAATCTCTCAATAAAAAAACACAGGGAAAATAGGTTTGGCGCAAAATGCTCAAAAACTTTGTCAGTGACACATTAGGAAAAAAAAAGATAGGAACTTAGTAAAAAACAGTAGCTCAGTTTTGTTCATGTCAAATGGTTAAGAAATACACAAATACTACCACAGATAGTGGCCACTTCCATGGGCTGCTGCTTGACCTCCCTCTCACTTCCCCCACCCCTTGTCAGCAGCATACAAGGAAGTAGTTGGGAGGGTTGAAACTCTGAACTTCTGCCCAAGGCCTTATCAGAAGGGTTTAAGAATGGTATGGACCAGCCCTTCTCTGCCGACAGCTCCTGCTGCACCAGAAGTACAATAAATATGGCACGGTTACCTTGACAGAGATCTCAGGTTTGCTTCTAGAAGTGGACTTTGGAAAGGTTACTGCTTGTGAGTTATTGTGAAATGATGTAGTTTTCTGCATTCTCACTCTTTTTCCCTGGAAGAAGTTGAGCAGAAGCAGACTTGAAATTAGCATGATGTTCAAAATGTTCCCTAATGTATCAATCACATTGGAACAAATTTGCATTTTCAAAACAGTCGTTACAGTAGAACTGATTTTCTTGTTTCATTCTTTGTCCTTTTATCTCCATAGTTCCTGGCACATAGAAAGTGCTTAAATATTTATTGGTTCATTGATTCATTCATTCATTGGTATGGAAAGAGAATGGAAAGGCACCACCACATCTCTTAATTACTAACCCACATACCTAGTAGCAAGCCTTCTGACCATCAGCCCCTACTTCTTTATCACTGGTAGAATTGTTGTTCTTGTTGTAACGTTCAGGTGGTATATGACTTTTGCAGATCCCCAGGAATGCCAGCTCAGATGTGCCAGCAGTGGCAGGTAGCATTGGCACAGGTGTTGACCAAGTACTTTGAACCATGGGCAAGCTCCAGAGCAAAATCAAACATAATACCTACAAATACAGGTACAATGACCTTGCTGTAACCCAGGGCTCCCCAAGCTTTCCAGCCCAGAGCCACATCACAAGCCACCAAATGCACCCTTCCGCTAAACAAAACAGCTTAGAGAGGGTGGCCAGGGAGGCTGAATTACCATCCCTTGAAGGACAAATTCATGTGTTCCTGTTGGTTTGGATATGTCCTGAAAGTCTTGACATTGCTAATGCCTCTTTCTGAGTCAGGAAAGCCTGCAAATCTTTGTGGAAAATTGCCTGAACATTAACAAGACCTATTTTTTTGTCTGTATTAGTTTATCTGAGCATTTATAGAGAAATAACAACTCCAAGTTCCTAGCAAGCTTTTTAGTGTCTGATTTGCCCGCATCATTTTCTGTGCTTCAGTCCAACTTATGTTGGCCTGACATCCCCATTTCATTTCAGATCATTCCTTTCCCTAGTCCCGGTACCCTCCTGAAATTTTCACCCTTTGATTTGACTGCCCTGTCTACCAGAACTGAAGGATATGTGGAGGAGAATGGATCTACTAAAGTGGTCCAGGAGTACAAACAAGCTCACACCGATGCTGTCAACTCAGTTACTGCTCTGAATCCAGACATTTGTGTCTCAGGAGGAAAAGATAAGGTAAAGATGACAGTGCCAGTTGTTGCGTGGGTGAGCAGAATAATTAGAGTGGCTCTGGGAGAACAGATTTGATTAAATGTAGTTGATAATCTTAAAATTAGAATTTAAAAGTTCAGAGTTAGAAGTATCCACGTTCTGCTGTTATAGATTTAGGAACCATTGGTTAGCTGAACTAGATTGTTCATCTTGTTCTGTGCTGGTAGCTTTATCTCTCAGGTTTGAGGAGCCATGTTCACACCTTATTCTAGCACTCCCCTCCTCATCACATATTTTTGCATGTGATTGTTTTATTTCCTGTGTTTTTCATATTTTCTTTCATTCTTTGGAGGCAATTAGGGTTAAGTGACTTGCCCAGGGGTCACATAGCTAGTGAGTATGTCTGAGGCCAGATCTGAACTCAGGTCCCTCTGACTCCAGGGCTGGTGCTCTATCCACTGCGCCACCTAGCTGCCCCTGTTTTTTCTTAAAAGTCTAAAAGTTCTGGAAAGCAATTTGGACTTTTTCAAGAAAAGTAACTAAATTGTTTATACTTTTGACCTTCTCAGCATATGCCCTAAGAAGGACAAAGATAGAAAGGTACAGTATATACCAAAATATGCATTGAAGCATTTTTTGTGTCAACAAAGAGGTAGACACAAAGGAAGTACCCGTCAATTAGGGAATGGCTGAACAAATTGTTCAGCTATGTTCATGGGCATCTAGGTGGCGCAGTGGATAGAGCTCCTAGAGTCAGGAAGACTCATCTCCCTGATCTCAAACCTGACCTCAGGCACTTACTAGCTGTGTGACCCTGGGCAAGTCACTTAACCCTGTCTGCCTTAGTTTCCTCATCTGTAAAATGAGCTGGAGAAGGAAATGGCCAACTATTCTAGTACCTTTGCCAAGAAAACCCCAAACGGGGTCACGAAGAGTATGAAATGACTGAACAACAAAGAACAAATCGTGATATGCAAATATGATTTTCTTGGCAAAGGTACTGGAGTGGTTTGCCATTTACTTCTCCAGTTCATTTTACAGATGAGGAAACTGAGGCCAACATGGTTAAATGACTTGCCCAGGGTCACACAGCTAGTAAGTACCTGAGGTCAGGTTTGAGATCAGGAAGATGAGTCTTCCTGACTCCAGTCTGGGTGCTCTATCCACTGTGTCACCTAGCTGTCCCTTACAATAACATTAATGAAAACAACAATTAAAGGAAACCGTACTCTAGTAATTATAATACTCAGTCTCAGTCTTGGAGAACTAATAATGAACTGCCTGTCTATATGGCAGAGAGTTGAGGGACTGCAGGGTTCAGAATGTTGTATACATCAGTAGACATGGTCACTATATTGTTTGTTTTTGTTTAACTTTTCATTTGCTACAAAGGAGATTCAATTTCTTTTTTTTAATTAATTTATTTTGATTTTATCAACAATCACTTCCATAAGCTTTTGAGTTTTAAATTTTTCTCCCCCTCTCTTCCCGCCTCCCTGCCCAAGATGGCACACAATCTGATATAGGCTATACATATACATTCCTATTAAACATATTTTCACATTAGTGATGTTGTAAGTAAGAGTTAGAATCAATAGGAGGAACCACCAGAAAGAGGAAACAAAACACAACAGAAGAAAAAGACAGCAAATAGTATGCTTTGATAGCATTCAAACTCCATAGTTCTTTCTCTGGATGTGGATAGCATTTTCCATCATAAGGCCTTTGGAGATGTCTTAGATCCTTGCATTGCTGAGAAGGGCTAAGTCTATCAATATTAGTCATTGTACAACGGGGCTATTGCTGTATACAATGTTCTCCTGGTTCTGCTCACTTCACTAAGCATCAGACCATACAAGTCTTTCCAGGTTTTTTTAAAGTCTGCCTGCTCATCATTTCTTATAGCACAGTAGTATTCCATTACATTCGTATATCACAACTTGTTCAGCCATTCCCCAATTGATGGGCATCCTCTCAATTTCCAATATTTGCCGCCACAGAAAGAGCTGCTATAAATATTTTTGTACATGTGGGTTCTTTTCTCATTGGTATGATCTCTCTGGGATACAACCCTGGAAGTGTTACTGCTGGGTCAAAGGATATGTACATTTTTATAGCTCTTTGGGCATAGTTCCAAATTGCTCTCCAAAATAGTTGGATCATTTCACAACTCCATCAACAATGCATTAGTGTTCCAATTTTCCCACATCTTCTCCAACATTTATCAGTTACTTGTTTTGTCATGTTGGCCAATCTAAGGAGATTCAATTTCAAACAGGAATGAGTGGGAGGATATATTCATAATAGACCATTATGTAAAAACAAAACATTTCAATGACCTTTTTTTTTTTAAGGCCAATGTATTAACCCTTAACTTCTGCAAACTGTCTTTTGAGTTTACTTTATTAGACCCTTTAGATTTAAGCTTAGCTTGTATGGAGAGGAGAAAAGATGAGTAGGAGGTCATCTGGAAAGTGATGAGAGGACAATGAAGTGAATTAAATGGAATCAGTCAGGGTGATATGATGTGTCAAAGGAAAGGGTGAAACCATTCACAGTGTGGAGGGATGAGGATGAAGGATACTAAGAGGAAGTGGTATAAGGACAGGGGCCTGTGAACAATAGGTGTAGTATTGATTTGAATCAGAAGATAATGGTCAAGTTAACTGGTTCTCACCACTCTCCTCAGATGGTCGTGGCTTACAATTGGAGATCTGGAGATATAATGAAACAGTTCAAAGGACACGAACGGGAAATCACCAAGGTATGTTCAATGTAATTCAGCAAGCGTTTTAAAATACCTGCTATGTGTAAGGTACTGCCCTGGACTCTGAGGATACAGAGGCAAAACCAAAGCCATCTCTGCTCTCACAGTGTTTGCAGGGGGTGGGGGTAACCTGTGGACACAGAGAAGTGCACTTTATACAAAGAAACAGAAAGTGATTTTTAGGATGGAGAGAATACTAACAACTGGGGGATCGGAAAAGGAAGTTAGATCTGAGCTGTATGTGGAAGAAAGCCCAGGTGAGGAGGGAGGGAGAGATGGGGGGAAGAAGTACATTCCAGGCATACGAAGGACCCGCTGGCAGAGGCACAGAGGCGAAGGGGCAGAAGATGAAATGTTGCAGAGCAGACAGCTGGCAGGCCCATTGCAAGAGTGAAGGGGAGTGATGTGAATCAGACCAGAGAGACAGGCAGAAGCCGTCCTCTAAAGGGCTTTAAACGCCAGCCTGAGGATTTTTGCATTTTATCCTAAAGGCAATGATAAGAAGCCAAATGAAGATTTTCAAATAGCAGAGTGATATATGTGGTCAGATGTTTTATGAATATCAATTTGGCATCTGTGTGGAGAATGGATTAGAGAAAAGAGACCAGAAGCAGAGACCAGTTAGCTATTAAAACAGCCCAGGTGAGTGGTGATGAATTATCATTGTATAGGGAGTTTGTCCAACCTCTAGGGAAAAAAAAACCCAAACTAATAAAAGATTCGTTAGTACTACATAATTAGTAGTTCTATATTACTTGTAGGATTAACTATAAACTCTTCAGTTTGTCATTTAAAACTCTTCACAACCTGGCTCCAACTGACCTTTCCAGCACTTACTATATATTACTCCCTTTCACTCCACAGCCCAGTCAAAATGCCATCTTACTGTTCCTGTCCCATGACCCTCCATCTCTCATCTCCATGCCCTTACACTGCCTCTTCCCCATTAATGCTTAACTTCTGCAAACTGTCTTTTGAGTTTACTTTATTAGACCCTTTAGATTTAAGCTTAGCTTGTATGGAGAGGAGAAAAGATGAGTAGGAGGTCATCTAGAAAGTGATGAGAGGACAATGAAGTGAACTAAATGGAATCAGTCAGGGTGATATGATGTGTCAAAGGAAAGGGTGAAACCATTCACAGTGTGTAGGGATGAGGATGAAGGATACTAAGAGGAAGTTACCTTTTTTACCTCCCCCTTTTAGAATACCCAGCTTCCATCTAAACTTAGCTGAAGTACCACCTTCTAGAAGAAACCTTTCTTGATTTTTCCAGCGGCTAGTATCTCCCTCTCCAAATTAGCTTGTATTCATTTATTTTATATATACTTTATGTATGTGTATAAATCTGTATCTAAATCCATATCCCTATCCTTATCTATATATGTTATTTCCCGCATAGGGTATAAGCTCCTTGAGAACAGAGACTAGAACAGTCTCTGGTATATCACAGGTACTTCTTAAACACTTTTTTTTTAAATAAACATTTGTTGACACCTAAGTGGCACAGTAGATAGAATGCTGAGCCTGGAGTCAGGAAGACCTGAGGTCAAATCCAACCTCAGACACTAGCTGTGTAACCCTGGACAAATCACTTAACCTCTGTCTGCTTCAGTTTCCTCAACTATATCATGGAGATAGTAATAGCACCTACCCCTCCTACCCCCTCTGCTGTTGTGAGGATTAAATGGGATAATGAAGCACTTAGTGGGATTAAATGGGATAGTAAAGCACTTAGCACAATGCCTGACATATAGTTGGCATTTAATAAATGCTTATTCCCTTCTCCCTTCCCCCTGATTAATTGATTGACTATTTAATCCTAAAGAAAAATACTAGAGGTATTGATATTGTCAGTCCCTACTCCAGGAACAGAAGAACATACTACATTTCCCATTATTTTTGCTTAAGTGTAAAGCATCTGACTTTTGCTTATCCTCCCAGTAGCTCAAGTGATGGTTAAGAGAGAACAGAACCAACCCTTCCCCAAATCAAAGTACAGAGGAAATTCTTCCTGACTCAAACTACATTATTCACATGGTCAACAGAGTTTAAATTGAATGCATGTGATATACAAGGGACTTGTTATTGTGTTGTCAGGGTTGTTGAGAGCAGCGGAAGATAAAGAGAGAGACTGCTGTCTAACTAGAGAGAGAGAATTTATAGACAAGAAAAGCTAAATAAAACTAATGAATTTAAAAAATAATAGAGTAAAATCTAAAGGCATTATATGATAAAGTGCCAAATGAATAACATAGAACAGAAAATCAGTGCTTCAGGTGCTCAGAGCAGGGAAAACTCTCTGGGCCTTTGTTGGTCAGGAAGAGTTTCACCAAAGAGGTAGGATTTCAGATGGGTCTTAATGGATAGGTAGGGTCTCAGTAGGCAAACAGACAGGGAGCAGCGCCAGCAATGGTATGGAAATGGGAAATGAAACCGACCCTGGTACCTAGTGATCTTAACAAGTTCCCAGTTTATACAACCTCAGGATTTTGAGGGATCCTCATTGTAGCTATTCTGTTGGCACAGATATTAACTCCTATGTGTTGTACAATTCTTGTTCATCTCCCCCCACCTCACCCCCCAATAAATCTGCCATAGAGGATCTACCTAGATTGCTGAAGACCTTCTTCTAGAACTTTTTTTAAAAACACATTTCACAGACATTGCTATAGCATCTGTGTTGTTCATCAGTTATCTTTCATTCATGACCAACATACCTTCTTTTCTAATAAAAGATATTTCCTTAATAACATACCACGTGCCACTTCTTGGGCATAATTCATAGTTGGCAATAGCTGCAATCATATTAACCTTTTTCCACCTACAATTTTAATTTCATGTTAATTGTGGTTTTTAATTGTTCACAACCATATAGCATCAGAAGAAATATACTGGCATCAAGAAGATTGGCTTTTGTTTCAAGAAATAGCTTCAGATCACCGAAAACACTGCAGTTTCTCAGATGCAATCCAGCCCTCTCTTTTCCTCTCTTCAATTCTGTGCCTAGCTCATTATCAAACTGCAGTGCCCATCAAAGATATATGTACTGATGAACTAACTTAATGGGCTGCTCCTCCAGCTTCAGCCATAGCCTAAGAAATGTGCAGTCTTTGTACACATATAGGGTTTTGTAGGAATTACTAGGTCCATCTCTTTCAAATGATTATGAATCTCATTAAATATAAGCTCTCTGGTACTCTGGGATTGGATGCAGTCAGCTCAATTTCGGCTGACAATAGACACATTTGGAAGGTTTCATCATCTGTAGGGAATCCCTCTTACATTTTGCCCTTACATAATCATATCTTCCATGATTATGGGAAACACCTTTGGGAAGCGTATACGTCCCTATTTTATGCTTTGCTTGATATTGATAATCAGAGGATTGTTGGATGAAGTTATCTCTGCATTTGCATCAATCAGAAATCTTGTATGGTTTTAATGTCAGGGGAAATACCTTGTTAAAGGAAAATCTTTAAGACTATGTTTTGTTATATCATGTTGAATGCTTTTTTGTAATCAACAATCAATCAACACAGTGGAATCTTGGTACTCTCTGTACCTTTCAATTAGTTGTGTTACTGTAAAGATTTGGTTGAAGATTATCTGTGAAAGCTTTCTTGTTTCAATATCATTTTGTTTCCAGCAAGAATATGCTGGATACATGTATAGATTGTCCATATTCAAGATGTTTTCCCCCCCTTAAGCAGTTGGGGTTAAGTGACTTGCCCAGAGTCACACAGCTAGTAAGTGTCAAGTGTTTGGTCTAAGGCCGGATTTGAACTCAGGTCCTCCTGACTTCAGGGCCGGTGATGTATACACTGCACCACCTAGCTGCCCCCAAGATTTTTTTAACATGAGAAAAGTGTGCTTACTGGAATAGTAGTTGCTGATGTCTTTCCCATCACTTTTGGGAAGATAATGATAGAATCCAAGATTTTTCTCATTCTCCTGGTATCTTTACCTACTTTACATGTAAGACAACTTTTTACCAGCCATATATATGTATTAGGGGCAGCAATACCACTAAGCAAGAGGAAGAAAAGCAGTGACCTTTCCCTCTTGACTCAATTTTGTTCCTATGCCTTTACTCCTTTTCCTTTCCTCTGTGTTTCAGCCAAATTGGCCTCCTTATTGTTTCTGACACTGCACATTCCATCTCCATAGGTAGGCTGTTTCCCATTCCTGGAACATAATCCCTTCTCATCTTTTCCTCTTAGACTCCTTAATTTCCTTCCGCTCAAGTGCCACCTCTTTCATGAAGCCTTTCCTGAGTCCCCCAAAAAATTGTTTTATATTTACTTTACAAATACTTTCTGTCTCCTTATATGTGTCCATATCATTTCCTCTGATAGAATGTAAGGTTCCTAAAGGCAAAGACTGTTTCCTTTTTTGTCTTTGTATTTCCAGAGCCTCACACAGTGCCTAGCATATAGTAGGTGCTTAGTAAATGTTTATTGGTTTATTACTTGAATGATGTGACAAGAGTGGGTAATAACAGATGGCCAACCTGAATGCTGTGTCAGAACCTATAAAATGTTAAAAATCCAATATTAAGATGGAACCATGTGCATACTCCCTCATTTCCAGTCTTGTATCTATCATTTTCTGTTTCCACCATGAATCCAACATCAGGGAAAAATCCTGATGCTTCTGTCATAGTTCCAGACAGCAATTACTTGTGCCACATCAACTCCATTTACAGCTACAATCCTTCAGCCCATAATCTAGAGGAAGGCCTCCAGCAGATTAGGTAGATACACTTGAGTATATATGGGAGAACATAGACACGGCTTATATAAGTTTAAAAAGTGTGGGTGAGTTGCCTGCTCCATCATTCGAAGGAGGAGGATGTATGAGATCTACACATCCGTCAAAATATTGTAGTATCATTTCCTCCAGTAGCTTATCAACTCACTGGTTGTAAGCCAGGAGGGCTATCAGTTACATTAATGTTTATAGATGATCTAAAAACTGTGATCCTTAATAACCCTCTGCCTTAGCATACTCTGCCAGCATCACTGCAGAGGTAGAAGGGGTCACTAGAGGACTGAGGGTCTTTTTGTATTTCTCTTTGTTTCTTGGGTTGCCATGGCCAAAGCATTTATCACCTAGTGACCGGATTTTTTGTAATGAGTTTTTCCATATTTAGGGTAGTCCTTGGACAGCATGTATAGTTGGTCACTAGGAATTACACTAAAAGCCTTTCCAGTTTTGTAGAACCTGCTAGAGCTAGTTCCACTCACATGGCCTTCAAGAACCAAGGATCACCACCATGCTACGAGGAATATTGGGTAGGATTTTTTTTTGTGGGAAAAGTTCTTAATGTGCTACTTTTAATAAGAGAATTGTGTGCATATCTTTCCTCTCTTTTTGAAATTAATCCTGGACATAAAACTATGGATCTTTTGCCTTGTTTTCTGAACAGGTAGCCTGTGTTTTTGGAACAAACCAATTTTTCAGTGCATCTCGTGACAAGACAGCAATACTATGGGAGTTAAGTGGAAATTCACAACCAATACAACAGTTTCTGGGCCATGACATGGTTGTTACTGGATTAGCTGTGAGTCCAGGTGAAGCCTGCATCAAACTTGTTTCTAACCTGCAAAGCTTTTCCTATGAATGTGCTTTCCTCAGTCCCATTTAAAATCATAACCTCATGGACTCTCTTCTTAAAACCATTATAGATTCTTCACAGATATGTACTGGTTCTCGGGACAATACTCTCTGCATGTGGGATATAAAGACTGGAGAATGTCTTCAGAAAGCTACCGTTTCAAGAAACCTGGTAAGAACTGGGTAAAAAACTCGATGTCTGTGGTAGGCAGCATGATGTAGGGGCAAGAACATACTGGATGGGAAGTCAGTAGACTTCCAGGCCTAGTCCCAGTTCTGCTACTAACTAGCTGTGTGATATTAGTCAAATAACTTCATCTCTCTGGGCCTAATTTTCCTTCTTTATCAAATGAAGAGATTGAAAACAAGAATCTCTTAAGGTCCCTTCCAGCTCTAAGAGTTATGTTTCCATGATGCTATGTAATAATGATGGCTGACATTTATATAGCATTTCAAGGTTTATGAAACACTCTACATACGTTCTCATTTAATGTAATGCATTGGCTTTAAAAGATTTCATCCTTCCTGACTTTGTGAATCTATTGCACGCAGAAGGCTATCTCCAAGGAAGTAGCTCCTGCCTTTATTTAAATGGATAGACTCACATTTTCTGATTATAGATACCAGGTTATGAGAGAAAATCCACTTGCCCTTTGTTCTCTCCTTTGGAGAACTGTGTTAATTTTGAAAACTTCTGTAAGCCCGAACCAGCAGGGGGCCACATCAGTAATGAGAAAGGTTAGAATTTTGACTTCTCTTTTTCCCAGTGCCACCGTATGGAGTCCTCAGATAGGCAGTAGGTTTGGCCATGGATTACTCATTTGGCCTTTTAGACCCTCCTTCCACTCATCTGGCCGTGAGCTTTAGTCATTCCATTTGTTTGCAGAGTCCCTGATAACATAGGTCATTAGGTGGGCTTAAATGAGAAACAAACCAAGTAAAAAAGAGTAAAATACCCCCGTTTCTGGCAGGGAGGGGGTGGAGAAGAGAACAAATGGCAGAAGAGAAATGGTGATTTTTGCTAACAGGTTAGAGTCATCATATTATGATCAGTAATCATTTCTTGTATGACCCCGGTTGCTCCCCAAAACGTGATAAGAAAGGATTTGAAGGAAGGGAAGGAGGCTTGTCAGATAGGTGGTAGAAAATTGTTATAGTCCTGTAAATGGCAGAGACTACATAAATGTCTACATTGTTGGTTGTCTTTTTACAAAATAATCAGAAAATTTTATTTTAATGCCTGACATAGTGTTTTGAAATGTTTGAGTTGCTTTCAATCTCTTTCCCAAAATCTGAAATTAAATTTGTAGGGGAAGGAGAAACAGAGAGAAACAATTGAAGTTATTACATAGGAGATGCTTGATAAATGTTTATTGCTGATGATGGCTTAAAAATAAGACATGGTGGCATGAAATTGTACAAAGTCCCTTAAAAGCATATTTGTTAGTTCTTAGATGTTTGAGAAGAGATGCAGATATATTTTCTGTGGAGCAATGATTTGCTGGAAACTATGGAGATATTAGAGAGTGCCTTGTTTGGTGGGATTTATTTTGAAGTTTTTAAAAAGTTCATTCTTCTAGGTCACTCATCTATGCTGGATCCCTGGAGAACCACTTATTCTTCAGACCTCTGAGGATAAAAGCATCAGGTGGGCTTGCTAATGGAGTAGGGATCTGTAGAGCTCACGTTGTAGGGCATCTGAGTACATGCTTACGTGACTTGATTCTTGTCCTTTACTGTTAGCTTCATTCCTTCTGCCCCCTGGGAAGGCCCCATGTGGAAGTCACAGGTACCATATTTGGTCCCATGTACAACCCTCGATAGGAGACCCCTGCAGTCCTAACTAAATCTGCTGCTGCCTCCATGTCCCCAGTTTGGAGGTGCTTGTTTGGAGTTGGTCTCCACACCTCCAATCACCAACTGTTCTTGCCTGATCTCTTCCTCATTTCTCCACTTAGCTGCCTGACATGTCTCTGTGATTGTACACTTAACCCCTAATCGAAGCCCTCTGTTTAGCTGCTAGTCTCTTCTTTTCTTTGGCAGCTAGGTGGTGCAGTGGATAGAGTGCTGGATCTGAACTCAGGAAGACCTGAGTTCAAATGTGGCCTCAGACATTTGAGACAAGTCACTTAGCCTCCATCTGCCTCAGTTTCCTGAACTGTAAAATAGAGATAATAATAGTACCTACTTCCCAGGGTTGTTGTGAGGATCAAATGAGATAATATTGGTAAGGCACATAGTAGGTACTTAATAAATGCTTATTCTTTCTCCTTTTCCTTTTGGTTCGGAGACTATCAACACTAAAATAGATTAGGGAAGAGGTGGGGGGGGAAGTGTTGCTTTTTAAGTGTGGAGCAGAAGAAGAATTATAATTAATGGAATTAAGGGAAGGATCTATATTTTGTGATGGCAGGAACTCTAGATTATGACTCCACATTGAAAGTGCTAGAAATCGTGTAAGAAAATGTAATGGAAATAGTCCCATGAATTTACCTCATGCATAAGTTGAAGAATATCTGTAAATCTTCTGATTCTGATTTCTAAAATAGTGCCCAGCTCAATTAGAGCAATTTCCTTATCATATATAAAACAGATCTCACAGTATGATTAGAACTAGGTCACCAGCCCCAAATTACCTGGAAAAATCAAGTCACTTTATTTAAAATCTTGTCAATTAAATCTTTGAATAGAATATTCCAAAACATCAGCAACTAATGTCCTTTCTTAGAGCTGTTGTACCAACTCTGGAACCTTGTGGACAGACCCATTTCGGGGAGCACTGTCTCCTAGACAACACAGGACATTCCATGATTCCATGGTTTTGATCCTGGGCAGCAAAGAACCAAATATTTTGCATTAGCAGATTATCTGAGGTAGGCATATTGTATATGTTTAATCCACTTCATTTCCAACGCAATTCATTTCAGAATTTGGGACAGTCGCAGTTTGCAAGTGGCTCATAAATTTCCAGTAAAGCAGCATATTCAGACCTACTGTGATGTTAGTCCAGATGGATATAACTGTGTCTCCTGTAGCAGTGGCTTTGGAGGGGAAGGCTGTGAAGCAACGGTAAGAGATTATATCAAAAAAGAAGGTAACTCCTGCCACATGACAGCCCTTCAGATATTGAAAACATGGCTCCTTAAGCCCTTTCTACACACTAAACATTCCTAGTTCCCTCAGCTAGATCTCAGACGACATGGTCGGTAAACCTTTCACCATCTTGGTCTCACTGCTCTGAATGTGCTCCAACCAATCTAATACTTAGGACAATGGGGCCTATTGCCTCCCTTATTCTGGATGTTATACTTCTGTACATCATCTGCATGGTGACTAGAAGACAAAGCCAATATGTCTGTGCCTTCAACTAAGGACCTCTTACCCGTAAGACCCCTAGAGTACACCAAAGAGAGCTAGTACACAGCAGCTGGAGGGCAGCAGGGCCACTTCATGCTCTCCCTAGGCTGTGGTTATCTGTTTGACAACAGCCTCCTTCAATAAGAAGAGTTTGAAGTACTGACATCAGCTTTACCTACAGAATGCAGATTCTTCCTACCAATATTCCTGAATGGTCAGTGCCTTGCACATGGTAGGTACTCAATAAATATTACTCAGTGGATGGATAATTGATGTGTGACTGGGTGGATGTCCTGAGAAATAAAACAGTTAAGAGACTAGAGGAAAGTGTGTACAGTGGTTCCTTTTTATACCTTGTGTAATTATGTTACAGTTGTGGGACCTAAGACAGACTAGAGGTAAAATATGTGAGTACAAAGGACATTTCCAGACAGTGACATCCTGTGTCTTCCTGCCGAATGGGTTATCTGTGATACCAGCGATTGCCACGTCATCATATGACAGCAAGGTGAAGATTTGGAACCAAGATACTGGAGGTGAGAGAGTTACTATATGTTTCTCCAAAAGCACCATCGTGGTAATGATTGCTTCCTTTAAGAATTCTCCTTAAATTGGTTTAATGTGTGCAATGGCCTTGGTGCCTACCTAACTTCCAAGTAGTTAGGAGATCACACTAAGATCCTGGGACCATTCTCTTCCCTCCCCTTAGTAGAAGCAATTATAGTGATGTGGTCACTACTAAGCCAGATAGCCTTTACATTTTAAATAACTTTTACATCTGTGCACATCCCCTACTCCCATGTAAAATGTAATACTCAAAATAACAGTCAGGAAGATTAATGAAGACTTGGTAAATATGAGGGTTTTTTTTATAGGATTAAAATATGAACTCCAGTTGTAGCAGTTCTCTCAAATGTGCCCTCCCCTTCACAACAACAGCTTGGGTTTTCAGATTCCAGTAGAATCGTTAATACTTCATTGCACACGGGAACCAAGAAGCCAAAGAGAAAAACATTTCAGGGAACATAACTACCCAGATTAATAGAGGTTAGCACACTCTGTCCTGTATGCCAAGTACATACAGTTAAATAGATTCTACTTAGATAGAAATCTAAATAACTTGAAAATGTCAGATCCTACTTTTATACATAACTCATCCAGAATACTTGTTTTGCAGAAGTGGGAGTCAGCTTGACACTTTTGGAGCAAAGATTTAAGGGCATGAGGCAGCATTGTCATCAGCCAGAAACATTGTGAACAGCAACAATCCAGTCACAGACTGAAGGGCAGTCTTTTGTATATAGTATTTTAAAAGCTTCTCTTAACACATTAGTTTTTTAAGCTATGTAAGGGTAACTTTAGCACCTGTGAACTGTGATTGTAAGGGTAGATTTGTCCATTTTGAGTTCATTTCATAATGATTATCTGTTTGAATAATCCATGGAGAAGACTAGTAAAAATTTTTGGCTTTATCCACTAAACTACATCAAATGAACTTTAAGTGACTATCTCTCAGCTAGTTGGAACAGGCATCCAAGAAGAAGACATTTGAGGACCAGAATCCTCCCCTGCTTTCATTACCTGGGCTCCCTGAAAAGCAGGATCCACTCTACACTTTCAGGTCACTAAAAGTCCTCTTAGTTTCCCCACAGTTGGCAGTTTATGCTACATGTCCTTAGTAAATATGGATTTAGTATTCGATTTAACCTGTTTTATTCTAAATCACAAACCATTAGAGCTAGAAAGAACCATAGAGGTGAAAGGACGACATTGAGGCTCAATGAAATGAAATTACTTATTCCAGATCACAGTCATTGTTAGAGCCAGGATGAGATCCCAAGTTCTTTCTGAGCTTCCCAGTTTGTAAAATGTCTCTGCACAGCTTGCCCCCAGTGCCTGTAATGCCCTCCCTCCACCCCTCTGCCTCTTAGACTCCTTAGCCGCCTTCAAGGCTTCACTTAGGGACTGCTCCCTCCCTGAAGTCCTTCTTGATTCCTCCAATTGTTAGGGCTCTTTCCCTTATCAAATTAGTTTGTATTTGCTCATCTATATGTCCTATATCTGAGCAGAATATAAGCCTCCTTAAGAACAGGCACCATTTTTAAGTTTGGTTTGGTTTTTCCATTCTTTTCTCAGGATCTAGCAAAAAAAAACCCTTACACCAGTAGTCAGGCCAACTCCATCAGCATTTACTAGGCGCCAGGCAATGGGCTAAGTGCTGGGGATAAGAAGACACACAAAACAGCTCCTGTCTTCAAGGAGCTCACAGTCTAATTGGGGGAGACCACATGCAAACAACTATGTACACACGAGATGTATACAGGATAAACTGAAGGTAATCTCAGAGAGAAGACACTAACATTAAGGAAGCCAAAAAGCTTTCTTGAAAAATTTTAGCCAAGACTTTAAGGAAGCCAGGAGGCAGAGTTGAGGATAGTCACTTTGATAGCTGAGTGGAGCATAGTCTTTTTTTGGGGGTGGGGAGGGTTAAGCAATTGGGGTTAAGTGACTTGCCCGGAGTCACACAGCTAGTGAGTGTTGTGTGTCTACCTTCCTGCCCTGTGAGTGGAGCATAGTCTTGAGGCACGGAGATCAACCGGAAGGCTGCTGCCGTGGTCCAGGTTTGAAGTGATGAGAACCTGCACTTGGGTTGTGGCAGTGTTAGAGGAGAGATATACGTGTCCTAGAAATGAAAGAGTGTGGAGGTGAGGGTGACGCCAAAGTCACAAGCCTGAGTGATTGGAAGGATGGGGTGCTCTTTACCATGTTGAGGAAGTTAGGAGAGAAGGTTTTGGGGGAAAGATCATAATTTCAGTTTTGTACATGTCGAGTGTAAGATCTCTATCGAGCATCCAGTTCCAGATGTTCAGTAAACAATTGAACATGCAAGATTGGAGTTAAAGAGATAGGTTAATGCTGAACAAATAGATCTGAGAGTCATCTGCCTAGAGATGATAATTAAATCTGTGGGAGCTGATGAGATTACCAAGTAAAATAAGAGCAGGAGAAGAGAGGAGGGCCCAGGACAGAGCCCCTGGGAATGACCAAGATTTAAAAAGCATGGGGCAGCTAGGTGGATAGAGTTCTGGCCCTGGAGTCAGGAGGACCTGGGTTCAAATCCAGCCTCAGACACATAACACTCACTAGCCATGTGACCCTGGGCAAGTCACTTAACCCCTTTGCCTAGCCAAGAAAAAAAGATTTAAAAAGCATGTCCTGATGATAAGCCAGCAAAGGAGATTGAGAAGAAGCAGTTGGACAGGTAGGAGAAGAACAATGATAAAAGTAATATCATGAAAGCCCAGAGAGAAGAGTATCAAGGAGAAGAGGGGGACTGACAGAGATCAGGAAGGATGAAGACTGAAAAAAGGCCATTGGATTTAGCATTTAAGAGATCATTCATAACTTTGGAGAAAGCAGTCTCAGTCAAGTGATGAGGCCAGAAGTCCAAGTGCCAAGAGTTAAAAAGAAAGTGAGAGGAAAGGAAGTGGAGGCACCAATTGTAGATGGCCACCTCAGGGAATTTAACCATGAAAAGGAGAAAAGATATAAGATGATAGCTATCAGAGATGGAGAAATCAAATGAGAGTTTTTAAAGATGAGGAAAACATGGACAGTATTTGTAGAGAGATTTAAGCAGTCAGTCCACAGGAAGAGATTGAGGATTAGGGAAAGAGTGGGAGTGATAGAGCTGGTGATCTTCTCGAGAAGATGAGCTGGAATGGGATCACTTGTGCATGTAGAGGGGTTAGCCTTGCCAAAGAGAAAGGCTGCCTTATGATGGGAGATGGTGGCAGAAGGTATCTGATGAGATGAGCAGGGGAGAAGAGGAAGCTCCTGGTAATGGCCCCAATTTTTTCAGTGAAATATGATGCACAGTTCTCAGCTGAGAGGATGAGGGTAGGGGAAGCTATGGGAGGTTTGAGGAGGGATAAAAGGGTTTGGAAGAGCTACCAAGGAAAGTGGCTTGATTTGGGAGGCATAACAAGGTTGTGTTGCTGCAATGAGAGCCAGGTTGAGATGATAAATTTGTAGTGGTTTTCTCCAGCTTCATTCAGCATGAGAACAAGAGCAAAGGCAGCAGATAGTGGAAGTAATCCAAGGCTGGGCTTGGCAAGACATGATTGGCGACAGGATGAGAGAGCAAGGGACAGGAGCATAGTCTAGAATTGAACTAGGTTCACTGAGGAGTCAAAATGGGACTGGGAGGAGAATGGGTAGCTAGTGTAGGAGGAAAAATTGAGGGGTAGAGAGATTGTAGGTCACAGAGAGGACAAAGAGCAGGGTAGGGGGTTGTAAGGCAGGGGAAAAGGTAAGATAACATAAAAACGAGAATTATAGTTATCCTTTCCATATCATGGCCGTTAGGGGCACAGTGTCCCTGCGGTCTGGAAAATCTGCATAAAATTTTTTGGCCCTCCCTTTGTCACAGAGAAGTCTGAGTTATTATAGTATTAAAAGATAAAATATGTTGTTATTACACAATACCATACATATATTTTATGCATTTCTAAGTTTCTAAACTTATTCTTTGTCATGTGCTGGCCTTCTTGTGTTGTCTGCAGCTTCCACAAAACTCCCCCCAAAATTTCCATTTAATTTCTTATGCTGACCCAAGATATATCAAAATCACAAAGGGGAAAGTTGCGATGTGGAAGGGATAACTGTAGTCGATAAAAGAATTCCATAGTTCGTAAACATGGAAGTGGGACATTTGTGGAGTGATGGCAGGATCAAGGGTGTGACCCTTGTGTGTGAGGCTGAAGTGGGGTAGAAAAGTAGATCTTGGGAAACAGATTGAGAAACTGAGTTACAGTGTTTGAGGAGGTATCAGCATGTGTTTTGAAGCCCCCTAGTATGAAGGCAGGAGTTGGAAAGGAGAGAAAGAATGAGTCATGAACTGAACTCCTTGAGGAAAGTAGGAGTGTTCTGGAAGTTGGTAAATAACAACCATCAAAATTTCAAATGATATTAGCTACTTAATAAGTGCTCCATGAACTGAATGTGTATTGAATAAAATGATGCTTTATGGTACCTACCTAATAGGATTGTTGTGAAGTTTAGGTGAAGTAATATATTTAAAGTGCATTGCCAGTCTTAAGGTACTATAAATGTTAGCTATTCTCATTGTACTGTGCTATAGTGTATTATATTGTAGTGTACTGTATTACCCTCCTGTTGTTATGTTCTGTGCACCTCATGAGAGGCAGAATGGCATGGTGGGTGGAGGGTAGTCTCAAGGCCAGGGTCCAGAACGGCTCTGACACACAATGGCATCTTGTAGTGCTGTGGATGACTAAGACTTTTTTTTTTTTTTTTTGGTGAGGCAGTTGGGGTTAAGTGACTTGCCCAGGGTCACACAGCTAGCAAGTGTCATGTGCCTGAGGCTCGATCTGAACTCAGGTCCTCCTGAATCCAGGGCCGGTGCTCTATCCACTGTGCCACCTAGCTGCCCCTTTCTAAGACTTTTGATTGTAGAAATGATGCCCAGGGCAGCTAGGTGGCACAGTGGATAGAGCACCGGCCCTGGATTCAGGAGGACCTGAGTTCAGATCGAGCCTCAGGCACATGACACTTGCCAGCTGTGTGACCCTGGGCAAGTCACTTAAACCCATTGCCTAAACCAAAAAGAAAAAGAAATGGTGCTCACCCCTGCAAAGCTTGCTCACATTTCTGAAGAAACTAATGGCTTATTCCTTTCTCCAGCCTGCCTTTTTACCCTCCCTCTGGATGGATCTGGCCCTTTGGTTTCCTTGGCCGTCTGTGACACCTCCTCCCTACTTTGTGCAAGTTTCAACTCTGGAATTCACTTACTCAGGATCAATGACAGCAAAGGGCTGCAGATGCAGGAAGTGGCCATGTTTTGATGTCTCGTTACCTTCCTCTGTAAAGGGAGCTCAGGCAAAAACAAATCCTGGAACCTCCTCTCTCAGTGTAAGCTTTTTTCTTCAGTTGTGTCTATGGCACTCAGGAGGGCATAAGGAACACATTTAGGAATGATACACAGGTGTTAGCACAGAGGTTGAAACAAGTCAATTGTTTCAAAAACAAGATTATTTCATTTAGTTTAGAAATGCATGTCAGTTATGAAGTTCTTAAGCCAAACTTCATTTAAACATATTCTGATTTCAAAACTCTTTGCCCCACCATCCAAAAGTCAGTTTATGCCTCAAAACATGCCCACTTTGATTGTGATAGGTGAGAGATGGATAGGGAGAGACCAGGTGGAGAGACTCCCACTGCTCATGCCAGTCACTTACCATCTTAGAGAGCCGCCCTAGAGGCCCTGACTTGCACAGGATGGGTCAGAGGTGGAATGTGAAAGCAGGTCTTCCTGACTTGGAGGCCAGCCTCATGCCAAAGGAAGGTGTAGGCAGAATTAGGAAGGAACAAATAAACATCCCAGGAGCTAAGGTGGAGCTGGGTGAAAATGTGTCTAGGCCCCATCAGATTGTGTTCAGTGTCTCAATCAGTGCTTTATCTTCAGTAGAGATAAGTCCTGGCTGTTTGGGTCCATGCTTCTTCTCTTCTCCTTTGACTCTGACCCCATTCCTGCAAGGTCTCCTGGGTCCATGGCAGCTATAATAGGGAATAGGAGAAGCAGTAAGAAGTATGAATACTTTAATGAATTCCCAGCTCAAGGAGTAAAATAGCAGGGAATATCAATGAAATGACTAGTTAGAATAGTGGATAATCTTAGATTCACCCCATGCAGCAAAACTTACAGAAGAGAAATGTAACCTGTACAGAATGAGCCTGCTACGAAGAGTGTTCTGTTCCAGGGCCTGCTTCAGAGAGGGGCTTACCGTTTTGTATCTGAAATCCCCCTAAAACCTTCACCAGCCAAGGTTGGCTTTGGATCCTGGGGTTCATCTAGAGCTTCTTCTTTCTTTTTTTTTTAATTTTTGTTTGTTTTTAGGCAATTGGGGTTAAGTGATTTGCCCAGGGTCACACAGCTCGTAAGTGACAAGTGTTTGGTCTGAGGCTGTATTTGAACTCAGGTTCTCCTGACTTCAGGGCCGGTGCTGTATCCACTGCGCCACCTAGCTGCCCCCTTAGAGCTTCTTCTCCTCTCTCTTTTCCCATTTGAGGCTCTAGCATTAGGTTGCCTTATTCTTTTTTTTTCTTTTGGCAAGGCAGTGATGAGGCAAAGATTTGCCTATGGTCACACAGTTAGTGAGTATCATGTGTCTGAGGCCTGAAGTCAGATTTGAACTCAGGTGCTCCTGACTCCAAGGCCGGTGCTTTATCCACTGTGCCACCTAGCTGCCCCCGAGGTTGCCTTATTCTTAACCAGGTTACAGAAACCAAATGGTACAGAAGTTTAGGCAGCAAAGGTCAGTAAGTATAACAAGGGAAATTGAACCAGAGATAGGAGCAGAGAGGAGTCATGTGCTTTCTTTTCTTTTTCTTTTTTTGAAAATTCTGAGCTTAATGTACACCAAGTAAAATGAGAATTTCCTTATGTAAAGTAGAGCAGAAAAAAGGGGTATCATACATGAAACTAAAAATTTCACACATATTTCTTACTTTTCTTTTAAGTATCCAATGTAACTTTCAAAGCTTTTTTGTGGTTTCCTTTTCTTTCCTTTTTTTCCTGTACATTTTTCAAAAATGCTTCAATTATCTCTTATTTTGTTTCTTTCTTGTTTGGCAACCGTATTACTACCTTCCTTTTTCTCCCCTCCCCCACTGAAAAAAGAAAAAGAAAAGAAAAACAAAAGTCTTGTAACATATGCATAGTCAAGGGGGGAAAATTCCTACATTGGCCATGTCTTTGTATGTTTCTTTCTGAAACTTGAGTCTATCTCCCAAGTTTTCTAAATATACTTCACCCCAAGTTAGTTATGTTGAATTTAATCAAAGGTTACTTAGCAGGTAAACCTTAATCCCAATTTTCAATCAAAGTTTTTATGCACTCATTTCAGCCTTCCTTGCTCTATGAATTCCCAGTCTTCAGGCAAGACCACATTTAAATCACATCAGACAAATTTATTCTCCTCTATAGTAGGATATCACATACTCTTTGCTCTCTCTCGTTCTCTCTTTGTCTCTCTTTTCTCTTTCTTTCTCTCTGATTCATTCTGTCACACATATCCGACTATCTTTCAATATTCCTAATAAGCCACCTAAATTCCCTTTGTACAGTTTAAGCATCTTGAATTGTTTCCTGTACAGTAGAGATAGAGGAATAAACTATCATCCTCTGTAAAACAACGAAACTTCCTTTTTTCCAGGTTAAATAATTCTGATTGCTTTAGCCTTTCCTCATAAATCTTATTTTCTAATTTTATTATTTCCCTCTAAACCCTATCTGTAGTCTGTCTCATGTTACAGAGCTCCCTATTTAAATAATCCCACTAACCTTAGCAAACATGTATAAAATGCCTTCTCAGTGCAAGGTATTATTATATGAGAGGTAAAAAATAGTATGACCCCTATTCTCAAGAAAGGGCTATCTAGTACATAAGAAGAGGGAGAGAGCATGCTAATGATGTCAGACATTTTGCCTGATTGACCCTCTGCCTCGTTTGGAGCCCAGATCTATGCGTTCAAGACATCTGGCTACCTGAAATCTCGCTGATGTGAGTCAGGGCGCCATTTTGCAATTGACATCCTCTCATTCCTAGAAGTAGGAGAGAAATCGGGTAGGGAGAACAAGGGTAGCAGGCTCAGTCAGGAAAATTGAAGCGAGTCAGAGCCAGCCATGATAGACCTGAAAGAATCCAAAGGAAGAAAACTTGCTGATTTAGCTCTCGAGAAAATTGCCTTTTCAGGCCAACAATTTCTCTCTAGCTCCAGCACTAGAGTAACCATGGCAGCAGCTCCTACTTCATTGGGCTGTGCAGGACCTAGAACTGAGGCATAATATCGGTAGAGTAAAAAGAGCACTGGATTTGGAATCAGAAGATTTGGATTCAGGACTCAGTCCTGCTCACTAGGTGACCGTGGGCAAATCAGTTCACCTGTCTGGGCCTCATTTTTCTCTTCTGTAAAATGAGGAGATGGAACTCATTGGTTTCTAAGGTCTTTTTTGTCTCCAAATCCTCTGACCTACATAAGTTATACTTGAAAAAGAATGTTAAACTACCAATGGCTGATTAGGATCCCATTTCTAGTGTTTGCCTAAGCTGTGTGCTAAAGACCGATATAAGCTACTTAGCAGTTTATTTCCATCTAATTCAGTGAATGTTTTCTGAGCACCTACTACACACAAATCCCTCTCGCTCAGCTCTAACTACCCTGAGCCAGATTGTCCAAGTGCACAAAGGTCCCTCTCTTGAAAACAGCACAAACTTTTTTCTACCAAGAATAGTTTTCTAAGTTGCTGCTTCAGTTACCAAACAATCCCTATCTCCCAAAGAGGATTGGTTTGTTCTCAGGTAATGGTTTTGGCACTTGGAGAATCTGACCCACTGTATCCTAAGGGTAGTATGACTGTAAATGTTTTTGGTTGAAATGTGAGTGAACAGAAATGTTCTGGGTCTCCGTGCAGAGGTCATATTGAATCCCTTGGTAATGACTTGGGGAAAAGAACTTATCTTGATTTGTGTTTTTAAATGTGATTTTAAAATTACATAACTTTTTATATTTGTACTGTGGTTGGTAACCAGCGATAATGTATTGACTGCTTTACGTAGGCAAGTTCAATGTGAATTTTTAAAAGTCTTCACAAGTTGATTGGTGAATTGTATCAAATGAAAGATATCGATCCATTCATTCAACACATATTTATTGAAAATGTACTATATCCAAAGCACCAATGGCACTTTTGTTTGGTATTGTGAAACCTGAGCATATTTTTTTTAGAGATTGAACACTTATTTCATGTGGTGTGTTTCTTGTATTAAATACTGAGTTAAAATAAGTGAATAAAGTTGAAAACCCAGATAATATGTTGTACTTGTGTGTTTCTGAAGAAACAATACCAACTACACTAAATTCAGTTAAGATGGAAATATTTATGAACTTGTCTTAAATACATTTGTATAGGTGTACAATGTTAGTTGCCTTTGCTGACATATTTTGAACCTTGAAACAGAAGATCCCTTACTTTCTCATAATTCCTTTATGCCCTTTTGTCTCTTTCAGTTTTCATCAATCCACAGAGTATATACAATTTTAAAAGGCCACTTGTAGTTTTATTAACTTTTGAGTGCTGCATGTGCAGAGAAAAAAGTACAATTAATTGATATGAGTTGCCCTCCTTTCCCTACCTAATCATTAGTATCCATACCAAAAGCAGTAAAATTGTCACAGTACCTCTCATGTCTTATAGTGCAAAGATTGGGAGGGACCTTAGCAAAGTCTAGTCTAATTCTTTCGTCTTACAGTGGGAAAACTAAAGTCCAGAGAAAAGAAACTTAGAATCAAAATTCACGTCAACTGATGCCAACTTCTCTTCTCTAGTTGGACTAATTTTTCTTCATGGATCATCATTTCCATTTTGTCTCTGTGGCATTCCTTCGTCTTGATTTCTCTCAAAAGGCAGTCCAAAGCTGGACCCAGGACCTTAGGAAAGGTCTACAGGGGTGCTCCCTCACCTGCACATCAAAGCCCCGCTCTGTCAGGCCGAGGTCCATCCCTAAGCACACTGTTGAATTAGTGGTCCACAGCAAAGTCTGGATGCCAATACCTAGTTGTGTCCCTATGAGAACACCTAAGGGGGAGAGGGAAGAAGGCAGAAAGAAGGAAAGGGAAGGACAGCCCTGTTGTTGGAAGTCATTTGTATATGGACAGGATGATAAGCAGGGCCAGAGAGTGACCAAGGAGACAGAGAATGGCCATCCCTCACGCCCAGAGGACCTGGCAAAGCTCTCTGCAGGAGAGGCTTGGGATGCGACGGACAGCCACTTCTGACTGAACCAGCTGCTGCAGTACAGAGCCAGGAGCCAGCAATTCCAGGGTGACCAGGGTCTCTAGGGCTAGCTTAGCACCCTGCCCTGGGTATGGCCATGGGGCTGGGGCTGGGAGAATGGAACATAGTTTATTTCCCTCCAGTCAGATATCAGGCAAGGCATTCATGGAGGGAATTTGCCCAAGATCTCTATGTTTTGTGGGGGCTTCAAAGATCCTCCCCCTTTGGGGGGATCAGGGCAGCAGTCCTGCAAAAAAGGCAGAAGAAAAGCTTATCTGACTTGAGGGAAAGACACATCCAGGCCAGGCATTCCATGCAGAAGGTCTGAGAGCAGGGGAGGAGCAGGGGCTCCGAGAAGGCACCATCTTAAGTGCTGTGGCAGACAGGGCACTCTGGGATGGATCTCAGGCACCTCTCTGGGCTCAGTCAGATTGGAGGGAAGACATCTCTTTCCATGGCACCATATGGGGTAGCAGCAGTATTCTTGAAAGCAGACCCACCGGCACCAAGTCCAAAGTATTGTGGGCATGGAAGCCCCCAGCCTGGGACTGAACAATCCTCTGATGTACTTCCCTTTGCAGAATACCCTTCAGTTGGCCCTTTTGGTGCAGCTCAGTCAGTAGTGAACTAGACCCTGTACTTCCTCATAGCCATAGCCAGGCTGCTTGGAGAATGCCTTAGTTACTCAGCTTCCTGAGTTTGTGAGGACAGGAGCCGGCCCTCTCTTCCTCTCCTCAATTAGCAACTGCAGTAATGCATCTCCAGACACCCCTCCTCCTCCACATTCCTGCCTCATAGAGATACAACCCCACAGGGATCATTGCACAAGGCTAAGGAATGGCATTACAGTCATCATAATTCATGTTTCTATGGCATCTGAGGTTAACAAAGCCCTTTCCTACCATAACCCTGCGAGGTGAGAAGTCTAAGTATTATCAACTCCATTTTGTAGATAAACACTGAGGTTCAAAGAATTGAAGGGGCTTGTCCAGAATCAATCAGTAAGTTTCAGAGCTGGGAGCCGAGGTCTCTCTCCTCAATCTAAGTTCAGAATTCC